GAATTAGGCCTGGGAATTCGAACCGTTCCGGTTTATTCGGTTTCGGTTACTCGGTTTTCGGTTATTTCGGAAATTGAAAGCTATTCCGAAACTAACCGATTAAGAATTCGGTTCGGTTCGGTTCGGACACGGTTATCTCGGTTTTTTTAATTCGGTTTTTTCGGTAAAAAGAATTTGGGCCAAATAGTTTTTAATGGGCCAAATAGTTTTTTAATGGGCCAATCCAAAACAAAAAAAAAGGTAAAAAAAAAATATATATATTGAAAAAAAAAACAAACGAAGAAGATGAATCGAGGAAGAGACGCCAGCGGCTGAGATCTCAAGGGTGAAGCTCGCGGTGTAATCGGCGAAGCAGATGGTTGAAGAAGAACCAAAGAAAAAGAAGTGTAAATCAAAGAAGAACATGATGATGACGAAACAGAGAAGAAGATAATGATGATGAATGGTGAATTGAAGAAGCAGCAAACAAATCGGAGAAGAAGAAGATGATGGTGAAGATGAATCGAGGAAGAAGATGATGGTGATGATGAATCGAAGAAGAAGATGATAGTGAATTGGTGATGATGAATCGAAGAAGAAGAGAGAGGGTAATGGAAGAGAAGGTCAAGAACAAAATAATTGAAGAACTCAAGAAGCGTAGGCGGCTGGGAATATTAGGTTAGGGTTTTTGGTTTCTTCGGTTAACCGTTCGGTTCGGCCGAACCGAACCGAAAATTTCGGTTAACCGAATCAAAATTGTAATCATTCCGATCGGTTTTACTTAATCAACAAGAACCGAACCGATTTGTCCAAATCTCGGTTCGGTTCGGTTCGGACAAATCGGTTCGGTTCGAATTCCCAGGCCTAGTTTGAATCTATTAACAGAGAGGAGCCTCTTCGTCTCTATCTTTTCTTTAGCGGCTTTCTCTCTTTTGAAGGTACAGAGGAGCTGTTATTTGTCTTGTTCTGCTTTTGACTAGAGGGCTTCACGACTGGGCTTTTTACTTCTTGTGTTGATGGGATTTGCTGGCCCATCTTCTTCTCATCATTTACACTGTGATTGACCGATATTATTCAAATTAATAATTTATTTAGAATAATTAAATTTAAATTATATAATTTATATTCATAATAAATTTAAAATAAATATAGTACATATACATATATATATATCGAAAATATTAACTATGAAAAATATAATAAAAAATTGAGTATATAATTTTTTAATATGAACAGTTTAATTTTTAATTTTAAACAAAATTTGTCAAAAATAACTAATCAAAATATTTAATTTTCGTTTTCTGAATTTTTAGTTATTAATTAAAGACAAAAATGTTATTTTGGAAAATAATAAGCTCTCAAAATTTTAAACATTATAATATACATTTCAAATTTATAATTTAGGGCATACAATCCAATTATTCCAAGAAAATATCCCTGAAATTATTACGAGATTCAAACAAAATTTTGTTTTGTTGTAATGTTAAATTTATTAATAATAAAAATTTATTTACAAAATTTTGGCAAAACTAAGAAAAACCTAAACAAATGCTCAAATGTGTGAATCTTTCAAGGAAAACTTACTTACTAGTTCAAAAATCTGATAATGAACAGTAGATTGAGATATGAGTGATCCCCAAACTCACGGCTTCGGTTAGTCCTTTGTTGAGAGTTGAGTTTTCGATTGAGCCTGCAAAAGAGAAAACTACTATGAGTCAAACGATGATGAAGAACAAGAAGATTGAAACCTTGAAGAAGAAGACGAAGTGGTCGGCTTGGTCGTAAGAGAGAAGACATGAGAAGAAGAAGAAGAAAAGTCAACAAGAGAAGTGGGTTTTTGTGTTTTGTCTTATTGGGCTAATGAAGTTAGTATAGGCCCAAAGTGGTGAAGTATGTTTCTTTGTGGCCCATTCGTAGAATTAGCTTATGTATCTTATTCTAGCTAAAGTACTTAAGCTAGAGTAGTTGAGAGTTGTTGGGATTGTTAGTAGCTAAGGTAAGGTTGTGTAAGGTTGCTTGTATGCTTAAGTCTAAAGTCTAGAAGTAAGGTCAAATAGTGACTAAGTTTAGAGTCTAAGAGAGTGAGTATGGTGAGTAGAAGAAATCTACTATATGTATGTGTAATATGTGTAACTTATCGAATATGAAAGTATGAAAGTTTAAGAGAAAAACAAAACAAACCTGTGATCTAAGCAGAAAAACAACATGGTATCAGAGCTCATCTTGTTCTTGGAGCCTGTTTAAGATAAGAAGAAGAAGAGTCAGAACAAGCAAGCTCAAGGAAGAACCAGAAAACCAGAAGTAATCAAGTCAAAGTAAAGGAAGAATTCACATGGCGTTGAACTTGCAGTCCTCTCATCAACTGGTTGCAGTCTTTGATGGTCAGAACTATGAGTTCTGGGCTGCAAGAATGAAAACTACACTCTTGAATAAAGATCTATGGGAAGTCGTCAAAGATGGAGTACTAGAAGCTACAGCTCAATCAACTGAAACTCCAGATAAAGGAAAAGATGCTGCCCTGAAGGCCCTAAAAGCTAAAGACACTGCTGCTCTTCAAATTATTCAGCATGCTGTGGCTGATGTGGTGTTTGACAAGATCCTCTCTGCATCTTCATCACACCAAGCATGGAAACTCCTGGAGCACTCTTACCAAGGTAATGAGAAAGTTAAAACTGTTAGACTTCAGTCTTTAAGAAGGGAATTTGAAAACTTGAAAATGAAAGAAGGGGAGAAAGTTAAGACTTACTCGGATAGGATTCAGGCTGTAGCAAATCAGATGAGAGCTCTAGGTGAAGGAAAATCAAACTTTGATTTAGTGGTAAAAATGCTGGCCTCTATGCCAAAAAGTTATGCTGGTCTGTCATCCTTAATGGAAGAAACTAAGGATCTAAAAACAGTTACCTATGCTGAGCTGCTTGGATCTCTTGAGGCACATGAAAAGAAATTCTTCCCTGAAGATGAAGAAGATGCAGAAGGAGCCTTTCATGCACGGTTCAGAAGTCTAAATGTGGAAGACAAGAACAAAGAGAATTCAGGTCAAACGAGTTACAGAGCAAGAAGATGGTGTGGCTACTGCAAAAGAGATAATCACAATGAAGATGTATGTTGGATTAAGAGTGGAAAAATCAGACCTGATTTCAACAGAAACAGAGACACTAGGAATTGGAGTTGTTTTCACTGTGGCAAAGTGGGTCATCTAATGAAAGACTGCAAAGTCAAGAATGGAGAACAAGCACAAGTCAACCAAGAAGAAAATGAAGCAGAAGAAAGCTACCACATGTTTACTGCAAGACAAGAGGATCAAGAATCACCTGAAGAGAATGTCTGGCTCATTGATAGTGGATGCACAAATCATATGACTTCAGATGAAAAGCTATTCTCAAATCTCAACACAAGCTTCAATGTTCCTATACTTGTAGGTAATGGAGCTGTGCTGACAACAAAAGGAAAAGGAGACATTGAAGTCATGACAAAAAAGGGCAAGAGAATCATCAGAGATGTTCTTCTAGTTCCACAGATCACTAAAAATCTATTGAGTGTTTCTCAAATGATTGAAAATGACTATGATGTTACCTTTGATCAAAAAGGCTGTACCATTCATGATCCAGCTGGGAGAAAGATAGCCGAGATACCAATGGTCAACAAAAGTTTTCATCTTAAGATGTCGTCAAGTGAAGAAGCAACAATGGTGGTTGTGAATAAAGATGCTGAATCAGGTCACCGAGGAGCTGGGCTTACCAAAGCTGCAAATCTGGACTTATCAACACATGAAGATCATAAGAAGAAGATAAATGAAGATGGAGCTAAAAGAACATTGACAGCAAGTGAAGGAAACAACCAAAAGGAGTCAAAAACTGAAGTCGTGAATCAAAAGCAAGTGGTTGAAGTTAAGAACCAGAGAAGTTCTGAAATAAACAAGAAAGAAGACAAGAGCAGAGAAACCAAAGATGTGGGTCAAGGAACCAAGATGGTGATAAAGAGAGACACTGTGGAGAAAGTTCAAAGCTCACCTAAGATTGAGAGGGAGCAAAAGTGGATTAGAGAAGAGAACTGTAAAAGGAAAGCAGAGAAAAATCAAGAGACAGAGAAAAAGAATCAAGCGATGAAGTTCAAAGGGTTCGGAATTCATAAGTTTGAAACCACTGGCACAAGTAAATCTCTTGAGAATCAGAAACTAATATTTCAAAAGCAAAACGAGGAAGAGCTAAGAGAATTACCTCTAATTGGAGAATCGTGTGCATTCAAGTTTGGAGACATAGATTTCTCCCCAGAGTTTCTGCAAAAGAAGTTCAAGGTGAACACTACTAAGATTGAAGCAATGAAGAACAAAACCGAGGAGATAATCGCTCCAGAGGGAGCAATTAAGTGTGTGAAAAGAAAGCTTGAAATCATGCCAACGACGAGCAAAAAGGAAGTAGAGAAATCCAACTCACCGATGAGTTATGCCGATGCCCTGAAGAGTTCTCCTTCGATGAAGAGAAAAGGAACCAGTACCGAAGAAGTAAAAGCATCAAGATTCAAAATTCTAACTTGGAATCGAGACCTCAAATCGAAAACTCAAGAGGGAGTGTTGAGAGTTGAGTTTTCGATTGAGCCTGCAAAAGAGAAAACTACTATGAGTCAAACGATGATGAAGAACAAGAAGATTGAAACCTTGAAGAAGAAGACGAAGTGGTCGGCTTGGTCGTAAGAGAGAAGACATGAGAAGAAGAAGAAGAAAAGTCAACAAGAGAAGTGGGTTTTTGTGTTTTGTCTTATTGGGCTAATGAAGTTAGTATAGGCCCAAAGTGGTGAAGTATGTTTCTTTGTGGCCCATTCGTAGAATTAGCTTATGTATCTTATTCTAGCTAAAGTACTTAAGCTAGAGTAGTTGAGAGTTGTTGGGATTGTTAGTAGCTAAGGTAAGGTTGTGTAAGGTTGCTTGTATGCTTAAGTCTAAAGTCTAGAAGTAAGGTCAAATAGTGACTAAGTTTAGAGTCTAAGAGAGTGAGTATGGTGAGTAGAAGAAATCTACTATATGTATGTGTAATATGTGTAACTTATCGAATATGAAAGTATGAAAGTTTAAGAGAAAAACAAAACAAACTTGTGATCTAAGCAGAAAAACAACATCCTTGCTTCAATGTCATAAGCTCGGCCTCCAAAACTGTAATTCGGGAGTCATGAAGTGATCCTTTCATCTGAAACAAGAGATTATCCTCTTGGCCGCAAATTGCTACCCCAAATCCTGCCACAAACCCTCTTGTTTTCTCCCTTATCAAACCCTTGAAATAATATTATAGAGTCTATACAAATCAGAATCCGGTGAGGGTTTTTCGCCATCTTGAGTCCCCATTTCCTCCAAGATTTTGTTCTCCCTAGGTTTTACGACTCCCAGTATACTCGTGATACCGTGTGATGTTTGTGATTCATGATTCCGATACTTTCCCTCCACTTTTTGTGTGTTTGAATTACTGTGAAGAATTTGCAGAGCAACAAAGGAAAATCATTTAATTATCTTTTGGTAACACAGCAGCCCAACTGATCCGGTGGATCGATAAGCAAGTTCGGAACGCACTCTCATCTATCAAACATATGGGAGATAGGCGCTATGACAAAGGGATGCAAATATGGTTTGCATCGAGAAGTTAATCATCTTTGCTTTCTTTAGTTTTTCAGCCATAGTTTATTTCAATCTAATGTTGCACTTGTTGTAAAAACGATATTTTTTCTTTGAATATAATTTAACATTACATTCAAAAAAAAAATTAACTTTTGGTATGTGGAGTAGAGCAACTCACTAACACATTGAACTTAAACCTTATGACAACAATGAATGTTTGGATACAAGAATTACAAACTCTTATCCGTGATGATTAGTTCAGGGAATGTCATTTTGGGTTCTCAAACTTAGAAACTATAGAAAGTGAAGCAATAGTGTAGTGTGTGTGTGTGCTTTGTATAATCCTAAGACTGATCAATGATATGTCCGTTCAATCATTTTTTACAGTAATGAGGTGTATACAAGACTCAAGATACATTGAAGATGGAGAGGACTCAAGATACATTGAAGATGGAGAAGACTCAAGATACATTTGACATGGCAACATGACCTTATGACCAAGATCATTCTCATCCTTTACCATATCTTGTGATCATAGCTTGTGTTTTTGCTGTGTATTGATTTGTGACCTTAATTCAACACTATCAAACTTTTTCTTCGTTGCAACATGTTGACTTGACTAAAATATTGATATTTGAAAATATTAAATGGAGGAAATGATGCATACGATACAAATATACAATCATTTAGATGATCAAGTTTTATTCTGATTGATATGGTCTTAATAGAACTTAGTGATTTACATGGTTTTGACAGAATTTAGTAATGCTCACTTTATATAAAGTGCCAAATATGATACCAAATAGTTGTGCCTCGTCATAGTTAATTAATTTAATAATCGAACTTGGTATAAGAGGGATTAAAATATAAGAGTATCTAATTTTTTAGATTTTATTTCAATTATTTTAATTTAGTACAAAATGTATTGAAATTTTTTTCAGTGTTTTTTATTTAATGAGAATATAATTTAAATTTTTAACTATTTCATCAAATATAAATTTATAGATGTAAAAAACATTATTAGTTGTGAATTTAATTTAAATCATTAAAGTATGATTAAGATGAAAGACATGTCCTTTTTAGTCATTTTAATACAATATGCATCCAGATGTAAATGCAAACTGTTAAAAATTAATAAAACGAACAAAACTTCATTCAAATGCTCCATCTGGATGCAATACCAAATTTAGAAACGAACATCATTCAGATGCATCATCTTGATGGATCATCTGAATGGATCATCTGGATGAATGTACAAACGAACATGGCATAAGTTTGTGCTTGTTGGGTTTTGAATCTCTTTTGAAATAATCTCCTAGATTATAGGAGTAACTCGTTGCTCTATTATTAAGATTATGTTATAGTTTCCTTAGTTATCTACTAAGTTGGTTGTAGAAGACTTGCTCTTCACCAATTAGTTATTTAAGTCTAAGCTAGTTATGCTTAATAAAGTGTATCGATAAAAATAAAAAGAAGAAAAAAAACAACCCTAAATTGATTTTAGAAGAAGCAAGGTAAGATGATTTTCGGAAATCTTGGATTTAGGAATGGTACTTAGTTTATTTAGTAAACCAACATTATCATTCCAAATCGTAGACAAATAGTTATGTTAAAAACATTTCGGGAACACAAGGAAAATTGAACCTCAAAAAATTAAAAACTACAATTGGATTTTAGCACCTGAAAACCACTTAGGCAATTAGATTTTAGATCCGGTTAGCTGCAGAGCGGTTAAGAATCATTAATCCAAGCGAAACTTAACATTTTAAAGGTTTTGTATTGCTCGCAAAAACACAGAAGAAGAAGAATAATGAGCGAGGAAAAAAGCGAGTTAAGGAAGGAAGTTGATTAAGAGAATTGGAGAATAGTGAATCTTGAACCGACCAAAAAACCGAACTCATTTTACTTCCATGCCGATCGGTTTATGTCAATGAACTGAATTCAAACTGAACAACCAAACTTTGGTTCAGCTATCATAATAATTATTAAGGAAGACAAACGATCATGTTGCAAACAGCCTTGAGTCACCAGTTTGTAGGAGCAACACATATCAGTGTAACATATCAGTGTAACAAGAGATTGTAGGCTGATCTCCCACCAGTAATGCAGCCGACAAACATCCTCAAGCCTAGCTGTCTTGTAGTCAATTTACCAGTTATATCAATAAGACGTCCCACATGTAACCAATAGTTTGACCAGAATAACACAAAGTCTTCAATACTTATTGATATAAACTTTCTTAAGAAAATATCATTAGATTGAGAAAATTTATTCATGTAGCTTATATTACCAAGAAAAGGAAAATAATATTGCAAAAATACTGAAAATCTAACAAAAACAAGTGGTATCATAATGAAAAAAAAAATTATAAACCTAAAAAGAACAAATGATTTTATTGTTTGAGCGTGTTGGTTCAGTCCGGTTGCAACGTAGACCCAAAAATATGTCGATAACAAATAACCAAACCGTAATATATATGGACAAAAAAAGATGATCATGCGTCTCATTCTGTTAAGCGCAAAGTATATGTGTTTAATTTTCTCCCCAAGCTTGCATTCGAGATCCCGTGGTTAACTGATCAAGAACGACTAGGCATGGCATAAAGATGCGTCTTGGAAGCTACTGAGGGAACCAGATGCTGTTCCAGGGGACCATAGTCTTTTTCTGCCTGGTTATTTTGCTCCAAAGTGAGAGCGGGAAAAGAAAAGGAAGAACCAAAAAAAGGTTAAGTTGCAATCTCGCTCCTTTATCCGAATAGAAAATTAACGACTTGGTCTCGGATTTATAGAAATTTTCTCCAAAAACAAGAGCCAATAATTATGTCAGGAGCTTCCATAAACAAGAGGTTTCTCATGAACTTGTAACACCTAATTCTTATTCTATTTGTTGCACACATCATCATGGGCCCTAATAGAACTCGTGACACCCTGATTGTTATTCTATTTTTTTTGTTCTTTTAAATATTTAAAACTTGTGATTTCATAAGCTTCGTTTAATTTATTCTCTGATTTATTGTGGTCAGTAATCATAATTTAGAAGATAGTTTGGTCAGCAAAATCGGAGAATAGAGTTTACATAAATAAAATCGCGTAACCGAATCTTAGCACTACGAACCCCTGTTCTAAAAATCCCCGCCTAACCCCGATTACTCCCCGCTTAATCGCTAGGCCCACCCTCTCCGCCTCGATTAATGACTAATCCCCTAAAAAATCAGTAACCCGATTACTCTCCGCCTAATCCGATTACTTCCCGCCTAATCCGATTATTTTCCGCCTAATCTTACATACCCCGATTATTTTTTAGATTGCAAGTATAAAAAAAAACATTTTATTTTTGTTATTCAATTATTTGAATTGGGAGTTTGTGATGTTTTACATAACTTGTGTTCAAATTTTAATAAAAATCATAAAAAATTGTTTTTACTGTAATTTTGAAAACAATATTGGATTAATATATTTTAAGCATATTAAAATAACCCTAAAACTAATCCCCGATTAATCCCCGATTTTAATCCGATTTTCCGATTAATCGCTAGGCCCATGCCGAGCGCCCGACTAGCGCCTAGCGATTTTTCAAACAAGGCTACGAACTTAACATTCCGCCTTTGAATTTAAAGACAATACAATATGAGATAAAACATAATAAATATAAATGGAAATTCTCTTAATTTAAGAATGAATGGAAAATTTCTCTAATTTAGATAGAAAATATGACTTTGGATAAACAAAACTGTACACTCAAAATTAACTTGTGAAATCTAAATACCTTACAAATGTTTTAGTCATTTTAATTTGAAATATTTCTGCTATTTTATCATCACATGGACTAATTTATTACATTTTAGATCATATGTTATGTACAATTATTTAGATAAAGCTTATAGTAATGGTATACCGTTTTCGGTCCTTTGAATAACAAAATGATATTTCAGAGTGATTATTTACAGTTTTTTTTTCACGTGGAAATTTGTTTTTTTTTGGCTAAGCAAAAAAGTTTATGAGCCGATTTCTAGTTTTTCTTGCCACTAAAAAGTTTACGAGTGGTCAAGTTGCAAGATACAAAAAATTTCTGAAACATAAGGGTTTTCGATCCCTAACCTAAACCCACATGAAAATTCCATAGCTCAAGCGGGAATCACTGGCCCACCATGCTTGGTCCAGGTCGAGATTTGTGATATAAGTTTAGGCAAAATGTCAAATTCTACAATATATTGACCATCACTATTAAAATGGCAAATTGCATGAGCTCAAGTGAAGGAGGAATTAGACCATTTTAGCTCCACAAAGCTAGTCTATAGCAACTAGCAACAATGGATGAACATGACTAAGCACATGATGTTGATTTTGTGTGTCACGCGCTTTTAGAAGGTTTGGGAGGATATTGTTGAAAACGAATTGCTTACATGATTTGGAGGAAAAACACAAATGGAAAATACCCTCAAAGATATTTAAAAGTTTAATAAGATATGAACTACAATAATATTAGTTGGTTTTCTTCACGCAATTATGAAAGTTGTTTGTTTTGCAAAAATAAGTTCGGTACATTAAAATTTTATTAGAAAGAAGTTCTATAGAGGTAAGAAAATTTGTTTTGAACACTGAAAGAGAAAAAAAAAAGTTGGGTGCACAAAAACGGGTATTTAGAATCGTATAAATCCGAAATTGAACATTAATTGTTATTGCGTTTAAAAAGTATTTTATAATAAACTATATTTTGTGTTTTTATCTACAATTATAACTAATATACTTTTCTTTCATATTGTAGATATCTAATATGTTTTAATTTTTTTTGATTTTACAAGATAATTAGTGTCAATTAATTGATCCGGTATTTGAAAATAAATGTTTTTGGTGGTAGAAATATGTAAATGTACAAATTTGATGCTGTAAAAACGTTTTTTAGAAGACCTGAAATTATTTTCCATATAATTTACATTTTTAATAGTTTTTTAGTAAAGTGAATGTAGAAATTTCTAAAGTGTTTAGGCGGCAACCATGTATTTAAAGTGGTAGATATGATTTTAGTTTTTAAAAAACTGCCAATCGACCTATGCGGGACCCAAGACGGCTATACATTTTGCTAGATTCTGATTGTTATTATATTTGTCTTGGTTCGTGAATGAAGACTGCTATAAGAGTTGCATTGTATGTTGGTGACCCCAATCTCAAGATAGCACTCATTGTCACAAACACTCACCAAAAGAGATTCGGATTCTTGTTCAATCTCATCCACGTAATGAATGTTAATTTTATGTCTGATTTTTTTTTTCTCTTTTTGTTTCTTTTGGTTTTGTAGATTCATCTCCCCTTATGATGCATGAGAAACGGCATTATGTCATTTCATAATATATATGATCAAATAATTTGTAAGTACGACTACTAGTACTAACTTTATGTTATGTTCAATAAAAATAATCAGATTCTCTGACACTGTAAATATGATTTTACATATCACCACAATTTTTTTTCAGCTCTGCCATGTCATTTTTTTAATCAAAATAATATGACTTGAGATTTAATGACTTGAGATAAGAGCCGGATCAATAAGATTTGGGACTCCATATGGATTAAGAAAAAACTAACGTCGTAGTTTTTATAATACTAAAAATTAGAGAGTAAAAAAAAGTTTAAACAAAACTATTGTTTTAAAAACATAGTACAATAATATCTTTTAAAAAAGGTAACAAACAACTTAAATCTTATGAAAAATACTTTTTACGGATTTTTTTTTGAAAAATTATTCATCAAACTTACTATTTTTCTCACATTAACAACAATATATATAACTTAAAAACACTTAAATGAGACTCTCCTAAAATAGGGGCTGCATTGAAATGTTTCAACTCCATGTGTTCAAGTCTGGCTCTGCTTAAGATTTCGATACCAGGAGCAAAAGAAAAGAAATAAACCCTCACTTGTATCCAAAATCTATAGACCAAAGTCAACAATATAAAAAAGTCTATGTTTTGAAACTCAAAAGTTTTGGTTCGGTTAATTTGCCCATTTTGGGCCAAAACAATAGAGTATACGACCAAATTAAAATAAGGAATTTATTTGAATATATTTTTCGAAACCGAGTTCATTATGAGAGAAAATACATTAGCACTAAATGCTTAGTCTGTCTACAAATTAAAAATTTGATTTTTTTTTTGAATAGTCGGAGAATCACATATCGAAATCGAGACTAGTCTTCCAAGATTTATAGATATCCAATTTCTTTTTTAATCAGATCCTTTGTATGGCCAAAAATGATTGAAATCGTAATGAATAGGCTCGTAACTCTAAAGAAAATTCAGGGTAAATTACTCAACTAGTAGACACCGTCACTTGGTTCTAACTTGCAACATATGAAAATGTCATTCTACCAAAACGTTTTGTAAAAAACAGCATTCTTTTAAATATAATCTCTGATATTATCTTGGTTTTCAACGTGAAAGTTTTCAGTTACAAACAAACAGTTATAATCATTGTAAATAATGAAAAGGATCGGATCTCAAAGATTTGTTTTCTTTTTTCGACAAAACAAAAGAAAGAAAACATGTTGCCTATGTACGGACAAGACATCCTCATCCACGACTCGGACGCCGAAGCAGCCAATAAAATGCAAAATTCTTTTTTTTTTTGCAAACAAACAAATGCAAAATTCTTTTTTTTTTTTGCAAACAAACAAATGCAAAATTCTTTTATTTCTAAATATACAGGTGTAATTTGTGTCTTACACGTTACGGGTCCAATTGCTTTTTTTTTATATCAGAATGTTTTAGTGTTTGTTTTACTTTTTAATCTTGTGTGTTTTTTTTTTAATATTAGGAAATTCGGGGCCAAAGCCCATAATTCTCCCATGTTCGAAACAACATGTATAATTAGGTGTGTTTACCTGTTTCTACAACTAGAGTTTAAAAAGTCCGATTTAGGAAACACATTTATAAGAAAATAATTATTCTGGTCCAAGGAAAAAATGAAAATCCACCTTCTGTAGTCAACACACGTGACACGTGCGCATAATCAAAGTCAAAGATATTCTCCAACATTGCCTTGCCTGTGAGCCCTTTACGACCTATAGTTTTCTCTTTATTTAATTGAAACTTAAATTTTTGGAAAGAAATTTTCATTTCTGTAATATTAACCAAACAGAAAAAAAATCCATAAGAAATACGATCTAAAGACTTATTAAATTATACTTTAGGTGTTGTTCAAAGATAAGTGCAGAACTAACAAAATAATCTATCAAGCCCTTTAACAAAAAAAACAAAACAAAATAATCTATCACCATCGTTTCAATTATTGTATGGACTATGTAGCCCTTGAGCAAAAACCTCGAACCAAAACGATATTACTAAATTGGTAGGAACTCAGCTTTTCCAAATTACCTAATCGGGTAGTTTCAAAATAGTAACTTGGTTTCCAATTATGTTCGAATTTTAAACCAAAAAACTGAATTATCCGAGACTCCGAGTTTTGCTAACAAATCCTAAATATGAATTATAAGGGTTTAGTTGATTGTTCTATTTTCATTTGGCCAGCAAATCCAAGAGCGAAATATACATCTGGAGAACTTTTTTTGTGTGAATTTCCAGCGATTCTGACCCGAGCTTATGTTATTTTCTCCAACCTGTCCCGGCAATAGTCCGAAATATATACATGTGGTTGTAAACAATTTCTATATACCCAATATACTTGTATATATTATTGTAAATAATTACTTACAAAATAAACCAAATGTAGTTACCTGTAAACATGACCACGAATCCAGAAGCTTTAGAATTTCTTTGAATTTAAATAGGATCTAAAAGATGAATTTTCAACTGCCTATGAAAAAATTAAGATCTCAATGGAGTTATATTCTCGAGGGCCGAATATTAGGTTTCTAATTAGGACCCACATTTGTTTCCCTGCCTATAAATTTCCCGTCAAACACATGCAACAGAAAAACACATAAACACGTTTATGAGATAACACAAAGCGCAAGAACAATCCTTGTTGATTGTTCAACATTTTCAAGCCTATACACACACCGACACACGAAAAAACACGTATATACATAAACACATACATCTATGGATCAAGGAGGTCGTGGTGGCGGAGCCGAGCATGGAAAGTACCGGGGAGTTCGGAGACGGCCTTGGGGAAAATATGCAGCGGAGATACGAGATTCGAGGAAGCACGGTGAACGTGTGTGGCTTGGAACGTTCGATACAGCGGAAGAAGCGGCTAGAGCCTATGACCAAGCAGCCTACTCCATGAGAGGCCAGTCCGCAATTCTAAACTTCCCTCATGAGTATAACATGGGGAGTACTGGCGGCTCTTCTTCCACCGCTATGGCTGGATCCTCCTCCTCCTCTGCCTCCGCTTCTTCTTCTTCTAGGGAAGTTTTTGAATTTGAGTATTTGGATGATAGTGTTTTGGAGGAGCTCCTTGAGGAAGAAGAGAAGCCTAAGAAGGGCAAGAAGAAGTGAGTGATACATGATCATTTCTAACGAAAGTGACAAAGTATAAGAAATAATTAGTATGTATGAAAAGAAATTATATATTGCAGTGATCTTATGATCATGATTCGAGCACGAATCTATTTTTGGAATGAAATCGACCGATTGATGGTCTTAGTTATTTTTCGAAACTACATATTTGATAATAGTGAGATTATCTGAGAGCATCCTTTGATATGTCATTAGATCATGATGATTAATAAAAAATATAGCATATGCAGTTACTATTCCTTTTAGTGACATATTTTACGTTTCGAGTCTTATTGATCTGTATAATAAAGCAATAAGAGTTTTTAGCTGGTAATTTAAAAAGAGGTAACGGTAGAAAGAAATGACGGTACTGCTTCCAATACTAATTCTTATCATATTTCTGTTTGACAGCTACTAAAATTTTATATTTACCACTCAAACGATTCATTTTTTTCACATATTTGTAAAATAATTAGAAATACAACTGGGGATGTGTCTTTAGTCAAGTGGTTAAGTCCATTCGACTCTGTCTTCCCCACCGGAGTTCGACTCTACTAAGTCGCGTTATCCCGTGTAATAGGGATTAGGTATGGATCGGGCTTTGTCGATCCAAAGTTGTCAAAAAAAAAAAAAAAAAATTAGAAATACAACTAGATTTGGTCATGGATAAAAGTAGAGGAAGTCTCGGCTTGAATTTTTCCTATATTTTTATTATTTTTGGGGCCAATTTTTTGGACAAAATTAAAAAACATTTTATTAGTAACTAGACAAAAAAAATAAGTTCATTATTCTTTATATTTATAACTAGATTCTGACCCGCACGTACGTGCAGGATTTCATATTTAAAAAAAAAACTTCTAATAAATTTTAATTCAATATAGATTATTTTGTTTTTTTGTGATATATTTTAGTATATTAGATCTGGATCCACATGTATGTGCAAAGATACTTTTTTAGAAATTGTAATATCGATTTTAAAAATAGAAAATATTTCGTTGTGTTAGGGAACTTAGTAATGGTATAGATTATAAAGTTGAGTAATAAACAAAATTCAGGTGCGTTAGTAAATACTTACATTTAAGATCCGGACTTACACGTACGTGCGAAATTATATTTAAAAATAAAAATTAAGATATAATTTAATTTCAAAAGTTAAGTGATGTTACCTTTCTATTTTCTAAACTATAATTAAAATATTTGTTACAGTTTGATTACATGTGTTAAATAGGATATGGATTCGGTTTTAGTTTGGGTTATTCCATGTATATTAGCCAGGCGTAACTATTTTGGAATGAGAAACCTGTTCCGTCCTGTATCTGTCATAAATTCTCTGTCCCGTAACCCATCTCGTATACGTGAAATAAAATATTACGGTCTTGTATCCGTCATAAATAGAATATGTGTAACTGAAATTGTACGTGCAGGGTTATATGTGTAAAAAAATTTGTTTTATATTGTGCTCATAACCCGAACTCATACCAGTTGGGTATTTAGTTTGATTTTTAGTTTATGTTCCCCTCCCATCCCGTCTCGTAATTTATATTCTCATTTCATTCCATTAAAATCATGTTCCAAATTCTTGTTTGCTTACCTTTAAATACAATATATAATGTGAGTTTTTCGGATTAATATGTATGTTGTTAAAGCTACAAGTATATTTTACCAAATTCATAATGTTTCTTTCCTTAGCTAAATTTTGCATATTCTTCTTTTCATTGGTTAATCATAATTAATTCGATTTTTGAACTAAAAATAAAAATTTGAGATACATCTATAAAAGAAATATGCTATTGCTGCATAATTTTTTTTGAATGCAAAATATATAATTAGTTTACATTATTTTGAAACCCGGTGTGCACTTTATTATGGATTTATTTAAGGAAGATTCAGTTGAAAAGTAAAAAATAAAATACAAATATTTCAAAATTAATATGTACAATTTATTGTTTAGATATTTCCGAAACTTGCTTTAAACGAATACCATAATGATAATTACTTTAAATTTACTATTATTTGAGTTTATTTCATAGTTAATATAAATATTCGTTAATATCTAATATCATTTTTTAGAAATTGTGAAATAAAATTCGTTTTATATTTCAAAATTTGTGAAAATATTATAACAAAACTGAATCTTAAAAATATTTGTATATAAATTTTTTTTAATGAAATTTCAAATTCAATCTTAAAATCTCTCATTGATAAAATATTTTAAACGATAGTGTTTTTAATTTTGAACTCAAATGATATTATTTTTATTTTTATTTTTGATATAAAATAGTCTATTAGGATTGGTTTAGATAAAATCTTAGTTGGATGTCAAATCTTAGTTTTTCAATTCTCATTGGTTAACAATTTTTTAGAAATTAAATTTAAATTTTCGTCCATAATTAATAAGAGAGAGAAAGTGGGTTTAATTTTTTGGAAACTAATAATTACTTAAAACAATTTTACTATTTTTATTTAAATATATTAATTTTGTGATTACTATTGGACTAGAAGAAACACAGACAGGAAAAAAAAAAAAAAATCAAAAGTTTCCCATATTTGGGCTCAAGACCCTCTTCTTCTGATAGAGTATTCCAAGCTATAGAAGATAGAGTATTTGGCTGGAAACACTTTTCCCTAAGCTCTAATCTCACCGTTTATTCACAAAACTCAAGTAATTGTGCGAATCTCTTCTGGTTTCTAGGGTTTCTGCCTCCTTTCTCATCATTCACTGTAGCTACAGTCCTCTTTTTCTTCCCTACCTTCGATCTGTCTCGATTGATCGGCTATCTTTGGGTTTGTTGCTGCGGTGGTTTCGGGAAGCTCTCAGCTCGGTGTTGTTTTCGTCGGTTGCTGTTCAGTCGGGTCGTGAAGCTCAGTTGCTGTTCAGTCGGGTCACAAAGCTCAGTGTTAATTTCGTCGGTTGCTGTTTGGTGCTTCTTCGGCGGCTTCAAGTTCTCTCTGTTGCTATCGTCGGTCTCTCGTTTTGGCTGCTCAGTTGGTGTTGTCTCTTCTTTCCCGTGATTATAAGTTCTGTTCCTGTTTAGATTGTGATGTCTGCGGCTATGGATAGAGCGTTGATGGCCTTGTCTCTTGATGAGGAGGATCTACCTTTCGACATGCCGGATTTGCCACAATACAGTTGCTGCGAGAAGAATTCTTTGAGTGTGGTGGGGCGTTTGCTGAACCCTGACCACCAGAGTATGTCTAAGTTGATTATGAATATGCCAAGGAAATGGCAAAAGAGTGACAGAATCAGAGGAGTGGCTTTGTCAAATGAAAAATTCCAATTCATCTTTCGTACTGAGCATGATTTAGTGGAAATCATGGAGAAGGGTGCTCACACATTCAACGAATGGTCTATAGCTATTATACGTTGGACTGAAACTCCCCCACAGGACTCACTACAATTCATTCCGCTATGGGTCCAAATCCGTAATATTCCGGTAAACTACTACACTAGAGATGCGATTATGTTGTTGGGTGAGCTTATTGGACAGGTTAAAGAGTTAATCTTCGATCCGGACAAGCCCCAGGGTCAAGAATTCGTCAGAGTTAAGGTCAGATTTGATGTCTCCAAGCCTCTCAGGAAATCAAAGGTGGTCAATCTTCCAAAAGGGAAAACTGCAACCATTTTGTTCCACTATGAACGAGTCCAGAAACGTTGTTACCATTGTCAAAGGCTTACGCACGAGCAAGACGTATGTCCCATTCTTATTAAACAAAGACAAGATCAAGCATTTGAGAGAAGAATGGGAAAAAAAATTGTTAAGCAGACACCGCCTCCTGTACTAAAAGAATCCGACCCTCTTTTTGGTGTCCTTAGAGAAGATCAAGTTGGTATCCATCCTATCATGGGTCGCCCCCGTATAGATCCGGTGTTCTTGAAGGAATGCGACAATATATTCTTGTGGCTGAAGGTGAAGAACGCAAGATAAGAGAGGAAAGGGTTAAAATTTCAGTAGCAGATGCTGAAAAGGATCCAATGGTACAAAAGACTGTCTTACGATTGGAACCTGCTCCCTTGGTTTCTTGTGACTACAATAAAGAGCGTGGAAATGTCTTTGGTTATGAATCTCCAGTTTCCCCATCTGCTTCTACAAACGTTTTACTGTTTAACAAGGAACAGATTATGGCTTCCTCTGGTTTGGTTGGTCAAGCTGCTTATGGAGATAAAGGAACTGTTTTGGTGAACTACTCTGAGGATTCTTCTTCCTCTCTATTTTGTTCAATGGAACATGTCCCTGGTTTCTTTGAAGTTGGTACATCCGGGACAAAACAGAGAAAAAGCAAAACAAGAAAACGACCTCACATCAGCAAAAGATCTCTGAAGGGTGTGGGGTCTCAAGTACAGAGTGGCAGCTCAGCAAAAAAGGAAGGTCTTATTGTAGGTGTCCAAGAAAAAAGGAAAGGTTTTATGGTTGAAGAAGAATCAAACAAAGTCGCAAGGCGCAAAAAACCCGAGGTAGTCCCAATTGAGGGACTGTCCACCATTTAATGAGCATGATGTGCTGGAACTGTCAAGGATTGGGGCGGCCTCAAGACTTGACAGTTCAACGTCTCTTGGAAATGCGTAAAAAACACTTCCCGGAGATTTTGTTCTTGATGGAGACTATGAATATTAGGAATGTTATTGTAGATATTCAAGTTTGGTTGGGTTATGATAGAGTTTTCACGGTGGATCCGATTGGAAGATGTGGTGGCCTTGCTTTATTTTGGAAAAAAGGCATCTCAGTGGATTTTTTGTCTTTTGATAAAAATCTTTTGGATATGGAAGTTGGGTTTGGTGATCGCAAGTTTTTTGTGTCTGGTGTCTATGGTAACCCACGAAGCGAGCTGAGACATATTGTTTGGGAAAGAATCACTCGGATTGGTTTGCAACGGGTTGCGCCATGGTGCATTTTTGGTGATTTCAACGAGATTCTCCACAATGGAGAAAAGATTGGCGGTCCTAGAAGAAGCGAGAGCTCTTTTGTTGATTTCTCTAATATGCTTGAAGTTTGTGGTATGATTGAGCTTCCTAGCTCCGGAAATAGCTTCACATGGGGTGGTAGGAGAGGAGATATGTGGATACAGTGTAAGCTTGACAGATGTTTTGGTAATAAAGAGTGGTTCAATCTTTTCCCGGTGTCAAATCAGAAATTTTTGGAGAAAAAAGGATCAGACCACAGACCCGTTTTGCTTTATCTTTTGTCTTCTCAAGATTCTTATAGAGGCTCCTTCAGATTTGACAAACGATTGCTCCATCAGCCTATGGTTTACGAATCAGTTAAACAAGCATGGAATGCCTCTGGTTCTATGTTTGGTACTTCTGTTTCTGAAAGTTTAAGAAGATGCAGGAAGGCATTGAGCAATTGGAAGAGGGTCAATGAAACCAACTCAAAAGAGAAGATTAATTTGATTCAGAGGGATATTGAGATTGAGCACTCTTCCCTTCATCCTTCCTTTGATAGAATGTCCTGGCTCCATAGAGAGATGGTTGTTGCTCATAGAGAAGAAGAAAGCTTTTGGAAACAGAAGTGCAGGAAAAAATGGCAAAACTCAGGAGACAGAAATACTAAGTATTTCCATGCTTCTGTAAAAGCTGATCGGTCTAGGAACGGTTTAGCAGAGTTGAAAGATGATGCAGGAATTATTCACAGGTCTGAAGCGTCGAAAGGTGATGTGGCTGCCTCTTACTTTCAAGCTCTCTTCTCTTCATCTTATCCTGCTAATCCTTCTGAGCTTTTTGAGGGTTTCATACCTAGAGTTTCTGTTGATATGAACAAGCTGCTTTTGGCTAAAGTCTCTAAAGATGAAGTTAGAGAGGCAGTCTTCTCAATCAAAGCTGCTAGTGCTCCGGGGGCTGACGGCATGACTGGCCTCTTTTTTCAACAGTATTGGGATATTGTGGGGGAACAGCTCACTACTGAGGTCTTAAGGTTTTTTTATGATGGAGTCTTTCAAAGGGAATGGAATTTCACTCAGATTGCCTTGATCCCAAAAAAGGTTTCCTCTCTCCTCATGTCAGATTTAAGACCTATTAGCCTATGTTCAGTCATTTACAAGGTAATCTCCAAGATTGTGGTTTCAAGACTGAAACCTTTATTGCATGTTCTGGTTTCACCAACTCAATCAGCATTCATTGAGGAGAGATTGATTTCAGACAACATCATTATTGCTCATGAAGCTGTTCACGCTCTGAGAACTCATGATACAATGGCAAAGGAATATATGGCTATCAAAACCGACATGTCCAAAGCTTTCGACAGAGTTGAGTGGAGCTACCTGCGCTCTCTCCTATTGGCCTTGGGTTTTGATATTAGATGGGTTGAGATGGTGATGGTTTGTGTCTCCACTGTCTCTTACACGGTGTTGATTAATGGACAACCTCATGGTCTTGTTGTCCCTCAACGTGGTCTTCGTCAGGGAGATCCTCTTTCCCCTTTCTTGTTTGTGCTTTGCACGGAGGGATTAACTCATTTGCTGAACAGAGCAGAGCAACAAGGTCTTATCAATGGTATGCAGTTTTCTGATGATGGTCCATCGATCCATCATCTTTTATTTGCAGATGATACTTTATTTGTTTGCAAGGCGGTTGAGGCTCAAGTTGCTGTTATTCACAATATTCTTGAAATATATGGTAAAGCGACGGGACAGTACATTAACAAGGACAAGTCTTCTGTCACTTTTGGTACCAAGATTTCTGAGGATGTAAAAGCGCGGGTCAAAACAGCTCTTGGGATTAATTCTGAAGGTGGTGCTGGTTCCTACCTTTGTTTGCCTGAATGTTTTAGCGGATCTAAAAAAGACATGCTTGATTACATTCATGAGAAGCTAAAAAATAGGCTTTCAGGCTGGTTTGCAAAGACTCTTTCTCTTGGTGGAAAAGAAATTCTTCTCAAGACAGTGGCAATGGCTATGCCTGTTTATGCCATGTCTTGTTTTAGGCTTCCAAAAGGTACATGTGAATCTCTTTCTAGCGCTATGTCTGCTTTTTGGTGGAGTTCTTTAGAGAATCAGAGAAAGATACATTGGATTGCATGGGACAGAATGTGTTTGACTAAGGAGCAAGGTGGTCTTGGTTTTAAAGATCTTGCTCTTTTTAACCAAGCTTTATTGGCCAAGCAAGCGTGGAGATGTTTGCAGGCTCATGACTGTCTATTTTCCAGATTCTTAAAGAGCAGATATTTTCAGGAAACTTCTCTCCTTCATGCTGTCGCTGGGAATAGACCATCTTTTGCTTGGAGAAGTCTCTTGTATGGCCGTGAACTTCTGCAGTTGGGTCTGAAACAAATGATTGGTGATGGAGCTTCTTTGAAGGTTTGGACTACCTTATGGCTTGATGACATCCGGATGCGCGCTCCTCTTATGAAAAATATCCTTGTGGACCTGGAGCTCTCTGTTAAGGATCTCATTGACCAGGAGACAAGAACATGGGATCCGGGTTTGTTGGATGAGCATTTCTTTCCTAGAGATGTTGAAATCATTCTCAAAATTAAACCTGTTACTTCTTCCCCAGATTTTTTCAGCTGGAAACACAACAAAAGTGGGGATTATAGTGTTAGATCTGGTTATTGGTTGGCTTGTCAGGAGTACAAGAAAGAGGAGATCAGTTTTGCCTCTCAGCTGCCCTCTTTAAACGGTCTGAAGGATCAAATCTGGAAATTATTAGCTCCTTCTAAAATCAAGATTTTCATTTGGAAGGTTGTTAGTGGCGCAGTCCCGGTGGCAGATTCTCTTATCTCCAGAGGTATGAAAGTGGACCTGAGATGTCAGATTTGCGGAGCTGAAGGTGAGTCTACTAACCATATCCTGTTTGCCTGCCCGTTGGCTAGGCAAGTTTGGGCATTATCAGGTTTCCCTTTTCCTGAAGACGGGTTTGATCAGTCTTCCATTTACCAGAATATGCACTTAGTTCTCTCGCTGGCCAAAGAAAATCGGCTTCAACTTCAAACCAGAAGGTCTCTTCCCTGGATTTTTTGGCTTCTCTGGAAAACCAGAAACAATATGGTCTTTGAAAGTAAGGTTTTCTCAATTTCTAACTTGATGGAGAAGATTAAAGAGGACTCTGATGAATGGTTTCTAGCCCAGGAGTTTGACGCCTTGCATGAGAACAGTTCTTCATCTATTGTGCTTTCTCAAACTGCCAATTGGCGCCCTCCTGCAAAACCGTGGCTAAAGTGTAATGTAAGTGCTGTTTGGGACAAAATTCAAGGTTTGTGTGGTGTGGCTTGGGTTCTTCGAAACTCTTTTGGTAATGTCTTCCTCCATAGCAGACATTCCTTTGGGCAATCTTTGTCTAAAGATGAGGCTGACTTACAAGGTTGTCTATGGGCTATGGAGAGTATGAAAAGCTTACATGTGCCTCGTGTTGTTTTTGCTGTGGAGTCCAAGTTGATTGTAGGTGCTATTTCTAGACCTGCGGCATGGCCTAGCTTCAAAGCTCAATCCGAAGCTCTCATTCTCGCCCTTTCCTACAGCCCTTTTTGGAAAATTGCTTTAGAGGACCGCAAAGCTAATCAAGGTGCTTTCCTAATAGCAAAGAGTGTCACAATGGAGGACCGATCGCAATCATATGTAGCTCAAGGCTACCCTTTTTGGCTTCAGAATGTGTTTGAATTTGATAAATGCTTTACTTAATTGTAATGAGTTTCTGTAGTTTGATTGCCCTCGGTCCCTTTTGTAATTGTGAACTTTGTGTTCTTTTATCTTATGAATCATTCAGACGAAAAAAAAAATGATTACTATTGGACTATTAATGAATTTATTTAAAAGCACTAAAAATTAATGGCATATTATGTAATATTTTACCTTTCATAAGGTTATTTAATATCTAGTGATTCCCAATTAATAGTTTATTTAATATCTAGTGATTCCCAATTAATAGTATAGATTGTCTGTAAGACCATACACAATGGCATATATGTTAGTATGAGTGTGAAAAATTATCTATACTATTAATTGGGAAGCATTAGATATAAAATAACCTTATGAAGGGTAGAATATTACAAGGAATGCCATTAGAATTTTTAATTTGTAAGAGTAAACAAAAAGATTTCGTTTAAGGTTAAACTCGACAATTACACATTAAAAAAAACGCGGATCCTGGGTATTTTTCCGGATAAACACGCGGACCCTATGAACGGGTGTCGAGCTACCAGATGGATCTTGGGCTTCTAATACGGATCCGGACGTTGATATAAAATTCGATCCTTGTGAGGGTTAATATTCAATGTGATGCCAAATATTGCACTCCGAGATATTTTGTATCTGTTAAAGAAAGCAATTGCCAAAAATATTAGTTATGATTTAAAGAGAATTCTATAATCTGTATAACTAACAAATCTTTTTTTTGGTAATTTGTATAACTAACAAATCTTAATACTTCCGAATTCTAATCTTTGAAGATAAATACAAATAAAAGATAAATCAACTAATATTTGCACGAGTGTTTTTAAGAAAGATACCAATTAAATCAGAAAATATAAGGAACACATACAATTTTCGATTTCATTGTTTTCAGAAAGATCTAATCTCATTTATTATATTTGCCTAATTTAACAATAACACAATATGTGAATCCTATCAAATCGAGCATATTCGATTAAGGTTTGTTTTAAATTCTGATACGTAAATATATTCTCAATTATTCAATGGTTAACCCTAAAAACTATAGCCCTATCTGTTAATAGTATATATACTCTTCTCGATTGACATTTCAGAACTCACAATCATTCAAAGCTTTTTTGCATTTTTCATCTTCTTTTATAGTTTAAACAAAATGGCTATGCTGTTTAGCACAAATTTTATGTAATAGGTATCAATAAATATTTCCTCTCTCATCTAATTTTGGTTCTTTACTAATTCACTTCTACTCTAACTATTTTTGTTCTTTATGATTTACAGTTAAAACATGGGAAGCAATGTTTTTCAGAAAAACAGAGAATTATCCAGATCATAGATTTGAAGAGAAGCAATGTTTTTTCCTTTTTCTTGCCTACATTTCAGAAACGTTACAACATCATGAACTAAGTGTTATTTTACTGATTTATTTTCTTTCTCCAAAATCTCAAACGTTATATTTAAAACAGAATTACTTTGTATAACAAAAGTAACAGGTTTTCGTAAGTAAAATTATGTCAACTATTTCATAATCAGTAGCTGTAAAGGTGAAAACTGAATACCAAGCAACTTTTCAGAAAGTTAAGTAGTTTGAATCTATTATATTCTACTTTCAATTTAACATACCAAGAAAATATGAATAGAAACACTAATGTAAAAATAATGTTCCCACTAACCTTTTTACGTATAGATTTCTGGATAAGTCCAATGACAACATTTCTCTTCCCTTCTCCATATTCTTATGTTACTTGCAAATGATGCTTCACCTTAACACATTAATTTTGTTATAAACAAGTTTAAATTTAAAAATACTTATGAAACAATACAATAAATTTTACTACCTCTAATCTCTAAATTACTACTTTGTTTTTAACATACTAGGGCAAAACTATGTACTATATATGATCTACCTTAACTTAAACTCAAAAAAAGTAGGTAAATCTAATAAACAAAAAAAATTTCTATCAATTGAGATCTCACTATACATTGAACAAACAAAAAGGAAAATTTTGTCAAGTTTTAAAACATACAATGACAAAAGTAATGATATCTTCTACAATTCTACTAATTCAGAAACAGTGACAATAGCTAAATATTATTATGGATTAAACCAAATTTGAATCCTTAACAACTCACTAACCTTTAACATTGCTTCCAGATTCTGTTATGGCTTCTAAACGACATCAAATTTGCCTTCTTTAAAAGACTAAAACTCGAAATTTTTTACTTCTTTGTAAACATGGAACTTTGTATCATCAGCATCATATATATTAAAAACATTATTTGTTTGAATAGAGCCGTAACAGAAAACTTATCTTTGTACATCGTCTTCATTGGGCAAAATCATCATCTTTATAATTATCTGAAATCAATTTAGGAACAAATTAAATGTTAACACTTATCAGGAAACAAAATCAATTGTCAAAATCTATACGCAATCCAATTTTAAACTCTATTAACTCCAACGCTTTCAAGATTCATGTAGATAGATTGAGTTACCCGGTTGAACACAAAAAATTCAGAAAATCAAATTCGGATCTAAACAATAAATATAATTGACAATACTCACACATGCAAGTTTGGGTTATTCACAGTCATTGTCCAAGATTCTATTAAAACACAGAATTTCAAAGATTGTAAATCGAATCGGAAAATTTTAGAAATAGAATGATTGAAGAAGAATCTTTAAAAACCTTACCTCTGTAGAATTCCAAATCTGAGATGAAAATTTGATAAACGAAGACGTAATAGGTTGATTATCGACAATTTTTGTCATTGATTCAAAGATCGTATCATCTTCTGATTTGTAGGTTTTCGTTAAATGTTCTGCGATAAGACACATATTGTTCGTTCGACAATAATTTGTCCAAAAAAGAAAGAAAAAGAGAATCAATATATTAAATATAAACAAATAAACGAAACCGTGGATCGATTTCAATACTATTTTAAATGGGCCTACAATAATTCCAGCCCAAATACAATAGATTTGTTATTCATTTATGGGCCATGAAAAGGTTTTGCTTTGGGTCAATCGTTTACATAAATTAACATTGCAACAAATTACAAACAATAATTTTGTTTCAAAAAATAAATAATTTTATAATTTAAGAAAAAAATATTCTGTAAAAAGCATAATCAAAATTCAATCTTTCAAAATAAAACACACCACTTTTGCAAATTTCTAAATAATTCAACAAAACCAAACAAAGCTATCCAATCATTCACCATACACAAATTACTACATTCTTACTGATCTAAAATTTTCAAACTTTAAAAACCAATAAAAAAAAAAACAAAGTTATGTACCAAATTTTATTTTAAACACAGAAAAAACATCTTCACTTTAAGTTTCTAATATTATTGTATCTATTCTATTAACTAATTAACACAAGAAACAAAAAAAAAAACATTTACTTACATACTATATTAACACAAATGTATTGACTATATGTTATATAATACATATCTTATAATATAAAATCCCGCACGTACGTGCGGATCCGGACCTAGTTTATTATTATAAGTAAAGAAAGAGAAAAGAAAGAAAGAGAAAGAGATAGAGAGAGATATAGAGATATGTAATATTTTTCATTTTTTTAATGCTCACATCCGGGTGTGGGATAACATCCCAAACTGTATATTCTCCAACTTTTCCATTAAATCTCTTTATTTTAATACTAACACCCCCCCTAAGAGTGCTGCACTGCGTATGGCCTAACATTGCAAAACAAGTAGATGACTCCAGTTTTTTACTTTTCGTAAATTGATATAAAATGGATAAAAATTTTGTTGTTGTTGGAGTTCTAAATTTTATATCAGTTTAAGAAAAAAAAAAAAAAAATTGGAGTCATCTACTTGTTTTGCATTATTACAGACAATTATAAATATAGAGAATATCAATTTTTGACGTAAAATCAATAACTTGGACCAGTTTGACGTAATAATTATATTTGGGAGTATTAGTGGTTCCTATTTACAAAGAATTTTGATGATTTTAACAAAATCACAGAAAGTAAACAGATGAAAGATTCTAAACTATTGCTAGAGAGTTTTCGAGAGTTTTTTATAATCTTGTTAATTAGTATTTCATAATCTTGTAAAGTTTATAAAACAATCTCTCTATTTTGATGATACTTTTCATGACTTTATTTTGTGAAGAAAAGTATAGAAAGTCATAAACCAATAACATAATAATTTAATTCATTAACAATCATAGATTCTTTTGTATTATTTGAATAACACAAAATTTTTAATGACTTTGTAAAAGTATGAATCCAATAACTCCAGATTTATGAAGATTTTAGATTAATTTTTATAAATCTTAAATTAATAACACCAAACTTTAACAAACTTTAAAAAAATCTTGATTGAATAACAACAGATTCTACACAACGTTTAAAGTCATTAAAACTCTATTTAAATCGCAAACCAATAACACCCCCTAAGTCAAACTCAAACTTTAAAATAATTACACATATAATAATTCCACATGTAAATGGTAAGTCAAATCTTGATAAAAAAAACAATTTTTTGTAAGTCAAATCTTGAAATAATTACACATATATCAGTTTGGTAAGTCAAATCTTCATACAAATATTACATTTGACCATAAATAGACTATAAAAGAGGTGAAATGCAATACTTAACTTCACCACTAAAGCAAAAGAACATTTTCTTAGAAAATGAATTACATTTCATTTAAAGTTCTCATATTAGCATCTCTTCTTGTCGTCGCCTTCCGTAAGTATATATATATATATATATATATATATATATATATATATATATATATTACTAACAATATCATTTTCAAATATACCACTAGAATTTTACATATTTCATTACCAATAGTTGAAAGTTGAAACTAATCTTTGTTAATAAAAAGCATTTTAGAAATGAATTGAACCTAAAAAAAGACTAAAATTAAATAAAAGTATACATTCAATATCAGTTGTAGTGTACTTTTAAAATTTTAATTTCAAAACTAATGTTTTACAAATCTTTTTATATTTTTTGGTGATCTTAAGGACAAAATCTTGCGGTTGGAGATTTTTGTGTGACAAATGAGGAATGCAGGCAAAACTGCCAATGTGATGCAGCTTATTGCGACATAAGCCGTAATATTTGCGTGTATAGGATACATGTTATGGATACAGTTGGTGTTAGTACTCTCAATCAACCTTGTATTCCAGAACATAAACGTTGTGGTAGTAGAGCACCTCCACCGCGGCGATTGAAATTATAATGATAAAAAGTCAATATATATATATATATATATATATATATGTCTAATAAAAATTCAAAAGTCATTTATCGAGTAAAATAAAATTTCTTTTAAGAATTTTGATGTGTTAATATTGTTGATGGTCATAAGTATATGAATACTATCTTAACTTAAAAATCATAGTGGAGTAAGATTACATAAATAAAGCATAGAAAATGAGTAGTTTAATAGGATATCAATAGAATACTTTTTCAGAATTTACAGTATTTTACATTTAATCAATACAATATAAATACTAAGGATCTCTTCAGAACTGACACCTCAGCATTTTGGGTTATTCTCAGCATGACACATCATTAAAATCGTTATCAAATGAAAACATTTCGTTTAATAAAGCTCAAATTTCTTCCAATAATAATTCTTCTC